TAAGTAAGACATAGTATATATTGTACGCCCTAGTATATACTAGGGTCTGTAGAGGTTACTCAGCTTCATCCATGCATGTGGGGGTTTCTAGGCGCTTTCCAGGCTGTTCCAGGGGGCTCCAGGGCCTTCCAGGGGCTTCCAGGGGCGTCCAGGGGGCTCCAGGGGCCTCCAGGCGGGGCCTCCTTCCAGCTCCATTGTTTTGAACGAAAAATGCGCCCTGCCGCGTACTGCCGGGCGAGGCTGAAATTTCATGCGGGATGGTCAGGCTGGACTAGGCCACCCACCATGGCGGGGGGGGGGGGCAGGGAGGGGTTTTTAAAGGGATCTGAACGCCCTGAGACTGGAATTCTAATGGGCTTATCAGGAGGAGTTATTGCATTACCTGGCTCCACGTTCCTTCCGCGCAAAAAGAAATAACTACCAGCGGCATTAAGATCTACAGGGTGTAGGGTTTAAGGGTTAAGGGTTTCGGGTGAAGGGTTTACCCCTGAACCTCCCCGAGCCACCAAAGGTGTGTTGCTACCCTAATAAACCCCTAAACCCATGAACCCGAAACCCTAAACGCTACACCGCTGAACGTCTAAACCCTGAAGCACCAAACCCCCAATCCCTGTAACCTCCATGTGCAAAGGTGCGTTGCTACCGCGAGCTTCTGGAAAAGCGATGCCTGGCTTCGTTAGGCAAGTCGCCCATCGCTGAGGCAGTTTAGGGTGTATGGTTCAGGGTTTGGAGTTTACCAAGTATATAGGTATTTTGTAGGAGTTCGGTAAGAAACATTATACATGGGGGATATATAGGACCTGGGGGCAACAGAGGTTGTAGGGTGCTGGGGTAGCGGATTGGAGGTTTGTGGTTTTATTGTTTTGATCTAGGGGTTTACGGTTCAGGATTAAAGTGTTTGGTGTAAGGGAATAGGACTAGGATTGTGATGGTTTAGGTTCAGAAGGGTTTAGGGCCGAAGAGTCAGACGTTAGGAGGCTTACGCGGTTTTGGGAGTCTTCGGTGGCTTATGGGCTTAAGTTAGTATATGTTGTTTAGGTAATTAGCTTGGGGGGTTTAGGGTTTGGGGCTGGCAGCTGTAGTGATTCTACGGGTTTTAGGGGATCTCGGAATCAGGGCTGGAGGGTCTCTGTTTTGCATGTAGGAGCTTACACAATCTAGCCTGTAGTTTCTTGGATTCAAGGTTTTCGCAGGTTAGAGGGTTTAGGTCATAGGGGGATTTTCCGCATCGAGGGCGTATGACTATTTTGGCGCAAGAGCTTGCTGGGTATAGGGCTTAAGGTTGATCGTTCGATGTTGTGATTAGGACCGTGAACCCTTAAACCCAAGCCCGAAAGAGGTTGAGGCGTGCGCACCTAAGCGCAATATGGGCTTCGTGATTGTGAGTTCTTTGGAAGCTGGATATATAGCTTCCAGCTTAGGACTTGAGACTTAGGTGAGCCTCAAACCTTGTGCTATAGGTACTGTGGCAGTTCCGTTTGAACAGCCACAACCCTTGCTTTTCAATTTTGATTTTTACAGCGAGCCTCAAACAGGAACCCTACACCCTACGTATTCCCTAAACGCTATAAACGTAAAACCCTGACCTCTACGGCCCTAAACATGGGCAAGCTGTGGGCCCTTAATCGAGCTCGTAGGGGATATACCTGGTGTGAGCCCCAAGCCCTTAATCCCAGAGTGTAAGGTTTTTAGTTTAGGGCTTAGAGTTTAGGATGTAGGGTTCAGGGTTTAGGCTTCAAGGCCCTAAGCCCTAAACCCTGAAGTTTCTTGATGTTCTTTTTGCTGCAGGCGACGCTGCACAACAACTGCGCGTGAGTGGCAAGTTACATGGACAAGGTGCTGCCTTAGAAAAGGTATGGCCTGGGTTTAGGGTTTGGGGTTTAGTTTGGGTACTGCCCCCACTCAGTAACAGTTGGATAATATTGGTAATGCATTTATATATAGCCCTTCATATGACCCCGAGTTTTGACTGTTACTGGGTGGGGGCAGTACCCAAGGTTTAGGGTTTAAGGTATGGCCTTGGTTTGAGATTCTGGGGCTGAGGGTTGGAGGTTGGGGTTTAGGGTTGAGGGTTTCGGAGTAGGGTTTAGGGTATAGGGTGTAGGGTTTAGGGTCTTTGGGTTCATACTCCCTTCCCTAAACCCTAAACCTAACTAGTACACCGCTGCTGGTCTTATATTTCTTGTAGGATTGCTGCATAGGCACGTGGTGCTACACGCCGGGCCGCGCAAAGCCTCAGGCACAGCAAAAATATAGGAAAATAGAGGGGTATATGCAACATTAAGGTTAAACCCTAAATGCTAAACCCTAACGGTTTAGGGTCCAAGTCTAGGGAGTTTGCCCGCTTTGTTTTCTCGGCGCTTACTTCGAATGCATTTCACCAGCGTCAGAAGGTGCTCTTGGCTCCCGCTTCGAAGCCCAGAACCCTAAACCCTAACCCAGAGCCCTAAAACCTAAACCCCTAAACCCGCAAACCCCAGAATCCTGCACCGTACACCCTGAGTCCTACACCCTGACTCTGATCCAAGCGCATCTGCATCTTGGCTTGAGCTCCAATCTGGAGCTCGCATTCCCGAACTTGGAACCCTCAACTATGGGGTGTATGGTTGGGGTTCAGGGTTTAGGGTGTAAGGTGCAGGGTTTAGGGGAGGGGTAATATAGAGGCTTACATAGGGATAATGGATTCAGGCTTCAAGGTTGAGGGGGTTAGGGTTGGAAGGCGATGAATCAGAAGTCTCAACAGCCGGACATATTCATGGGGTCGTTGTGATTTGTCACTTTTGCTACTGAGGCCAAAGCTATAAATCATTTAGCTCAAAACTTCAAGCACAAACATAACAACCAATCCCAGCCCTGAACCCAAGACTCTTCTGCCTAACCCCTGAGCCCCAAGTCTAAATCCAAAGCTGAAAAGCCTTATCCCTAAGCCCTAAACCCCAAAACCTAAACCCTAAGACCTAAAACCCAGGTCTGTAGCTCTTCGCCTTACTCCAAGGGATGGCTGCTAATGGATGCGTAGATCTGGCACGCAATATCTCTGGGACATTTGTGCACCTGCCTAAGTGGGCTTTCCATGCAGGGTGGCAAAAAAAAACCTAAAACCTAAACCCTAAACCCTAAGCCCTGCGCCCCAAGTCTAAGCCCAAAGCTGAACGACTTATCCCGAAGCCCTCAGCCCCAACTTAGGGGTTACATTGGGGTCATAAGGGTTTAGGGTTCAGGGTTTAGGGCTTAGGGTGTAGGGTGTAGGGTTGAAGAGAAAATGGAAACTACAGGGATTACAGGGGTTATATGGGGGTTATATTAGGGTTACATTGGGATCATATTGGAATAATGGAAAAGAAGCTGGAAACTACTATAGTATATTAGGGTATATATATATATATTGGGGTTATAATAGGGATCCTTATATTAAGCCACTTAAAAGGAGGAGGTTTATGAATTCTACATTAGGGTTGGGGACGAGGGTATACATACGGGTTATATTCCTCGAGTCCGAAGGCTTACATTCCTCACCCCGGCGAGTTCCGCACCCCTAAACTCTGAAACCTACATCCTACACCAAAAGCCGTAAGCTCCAAAACCTTAAACTAAATCCTACCTGAACCCTAAGCCCTCAAACCTAAAACCATAAGTCCTAAAACCCTAAACCTTAGACCCTAAACCCTAAATCTTCAGCCCTGAACTCTAAACCCTAAATCCTAAACCCAGAACCCCAAAATTGCTTGTTTGCTCTTGCTCTTGGCTCGCAGCTATGTTTCTGAAGCGTTACACGGTCTAGGGGTTAGGGTTTTGAGTTTTAGGGTTGAGGATTTACGGTAGGTTTTGGCGCCATGTACTTACGGACGGTGCTGCAGGCTGTGCCACACAGAGTTTGTGTAGGATTTCGGGGTTTAGTGGTTCAGGATTTGGGTTTTAGCTTGGGTACTGCCCTTGCTCAATATTTGTTGGATAATAAATACATGATGGCTATATATCGCCTTCAACATTTCCCCTATTCTAGAGTGTTATTCGGTGGGGGAGTACCCAACAATAACCCTAAACCCTATACCCTAAATCCTAAACTCTAAGTCCTAAAGCTATATCCTAAACCTTAAAGTCCTAAAACCTGAACCCTAAATCCTAAACCCTAAGATCCTAGACCCTAGACCCTAAATCCTAAACCCAACATTTAAACCCTGGACCCTGAATCCTTAAACCTGAACCTTCAAGAGGTTTGGTAGTTGAGGGGTTTAGGGTTTACGGCTAGATGCTTAACCCAACTGGGCTTCTACGCCGAGTTACAGCCCTTAACCTGGGTCACTGCCCCCACCCAGTAGCTCTATATCACGGTCTAGGTCTCAGGCCTAGGATGTAGGGTTTAGGGGATAGGGTTAACAGTCTCTAATAGGCGCTACTTTAAGGGCTTTATATAATCATATTCAAAATATCAACCAGCTGTTACTGAGTTGGGGCAGTAACCAGCCTTACCCTTATGGTTTAGGGTTTAGGGATTTAGAGTTTAGGGCTTCAGGGCTTTGGGGCTTTAGGGTTAAGGGCTTTAGGGTTCTGGGGCCCTTCAGGAGTTCTCAAGCTAAATCGGCATTGATCCTGTCCATGTGCAAGTGACTGAGCAAGTGGGCTAACATGCCGAGTTTGGATTTTTGGATGAATAATAGCTTTTGTTGAGATGCTCGGCATCTCACTGTACGTTTAAAATGCTCAGGTAATACATCGGGAAATCGAATTATAGAAGCCCCAATCAAACCTTCAGGAGATTCCTTCCCCTGCCAGTTTCGGGCTCGGTGAACGTGAAGGTATAAGGTGTAGGATTTTGTGGGTTGGGTGATTTATGTCGCTTTTTAAAGGGAGTTTAGGGCTTTAGGGTCTGTCCCTCTTGTGCGGTTGGTAGTTTTGAGCCCTGCGCGACCGTACCGTCGAGGTAAGCCGCTTGCTGTGTTTCAGCATGCCTTCTTTGTTTAGGGTTTAGGG